CTTACCAGCTTTATTTAAAAAATACGACCAATTGTATCAAAGAATCCAGGTTATGTAATGTATCCAAATAACGCGACAAAAATTAAAATGAGTTAAAAGGAAATAATTCAAACGACGAGACAAAATTAAAAGTTAAAATAAAATGCCCAAAGTCTATGATATGTGGCAATTTAAAAAGTAATTCACCGATCAGGTTCAGTAAATGAATAATTGGTGTTAGTAGAGGTTTTTAAGGTTCATTGAGATAATTAATTTGTCACTAGCATAATAATTGATAAAAAGCATAATTACTGTTTCTCTAAAACTCTATGAAGATTTGATCAACGTGGCTTTTTATCTTCAGTCAAATCTTTATTCAAACTTCCAGCCTCCTCGTTTCTGTCATATCTACTCCAAGCAGTGAGTTTCCTCCAGTATCCAATACATCTCCTCCTCAACTCCAGGTAACCAGGTAACCAGGTAACCAGGTAACCAGGTAACCAGGTAACCAGGTAACCAGGTAACCAGGTTACCAGGTAACCAGGTAACACTACTAATTACTTCCAGCCTCCTCGTTCCTGTCATATCTACTCCAAGCAGTGAGTTTCCTCCAGTATCCAACACATCTCCTCCTCAACTCCAGGTAACCAGGTAACCAGGTAACCAGGTAACCAGGTAACCAGGTAACCAGGTAACCAGGTAACCAGGTAACCAGGTAACCAGGTAACCAGGTAACCAGGTAACACTACTAGTTACTACCAGCCTCCTCATACCTGTCAGATCTACTCCAAGCAGTGAGTTTCCTCCAGTATCCAACACATCTCCTCCTCAACTCCTCCTTCCTGCAGATCAGGATGATAGGATACAGCACCGCGTATATTAGAGGCAGCGTGAACTCAGTGACTCCCAGCAACATTCCTAACTCTGTTATACCTGTATCAGAGTAATGCATGGACCCATGGTTATATACGACACCCGGACAAAGTCCGATCAGGCAGAGAATGTACGCAGCGTTACAGATGAAGAAGAGAAGAGATATGGAGAAGACGGTGATTGAGACGTGACGGGCGGTATCGGGCATCAGCGGGGTGACTTCATCTTCTTGTTCCTGGAGTGATCTCCTCAGTTTTATTACCTGTATTATCATACAGATCAGCATGATTAACGGGGGAGCCAAGAAGTAAGTAGCTACGGTTAAATATACTAGGCCAGCTAAGAAACCACCATGATTCCCCGTGTAGTAATGATCGAGGTCACACCTTAAATTCTCAGATTCCCCAGATTCTCCAGGACAATATATGGCAGCAGCTGTCACCCCGCCAGGTATTATAAATCCAAATAATAAACTGACATACTGATAGAGGTAATCTCCCGGGTTAATGGGACTAACAAGTATAACGATGATTATGATAGCATCGGAAACATGAAGCACCGTTATGGCAAAGCAGAGGCAGGCTACAATTTTCTGCAACCGTTGAAAATTGATTCTGTAAAAAGGGTTGGACACTTTGATTGTGATGGAGATGGTCATCACAATATTAAACACCTTGGACCAATTGACACCAGGAAGTGCAGTAAGCATGTAGTAAACCAAGCTCTTGTAAAGAACAGTCACCTCGACCAGTCCTGTGTACGCTAGGATACTGATCACTGAGAGTACCAACTCTCCTTGTGCTCTGAGAATGTCAGACAGGGCAATGCCCATGAACAAACTTGGAATCAACCTGTTTCTATCATTGTAGTAGTTGACAAATATGACAGCATTTTCTATTACAACTATCAGACTCAAAGGAATGGTGAGCGGGGCTACGAAGAAGAATGCTCCTTTGAACACGAGGAAAACATCATGGTCACCAATGCTCTGTACAGTTGACTGATTCATAGCGTATCTGGTAATTAGTAAGGTTATGAAAGAGAAGGGTTGAGGGAGGGTTAACAAATTAAGTCAGAATCCGAAGGAGGAGAAATGGTTTTCAAATTGGCCGAAATGCTGAGTAGTTTAGAAAAGCAGTTAGTATATTAGCCATGTGTTAGGGGGCAGGGGGGTATTAGTCACGTGTTAGGGGGCAGGGGGGTGTTACTAAGGTGTTACTAGGTGTTGCTAAGGGGGGGGGGGGGTCTTCATGGAAATATCCTTCTCCAGGCAATCTGTTCTAAATTATATTTCAGGGTGATTGCTCAAAAACTCTAGAAGATAGATTTTTACTCGTCCACAAATATTTCTGACGTAATATGCGGTTCTTAATAATAATTAAGCGGAAACGGTAGAACTGAAATGAAAGTTGAGCTGGTCATTGGCAATGTTTCAAAGGTGTTACAACAATAAGATGCTACAATATCCTCTGTATATATATATAGATTAGAGATAGGTAAAATTGGTTGCTAGAAGAAGATACTACCAAGCTACTTACGATGGTAACTGGGATATGAAATGTTTTCTGGTATGTTTAACAGGTTAGTATAAACTATAGTAACCTGTTGTAGCTGTGTAGTGGTAACACGTATAAACTATAAGATGAACGTTTCCGGCGTTAAATCCGTGATATGAGTACAGTGGTGTTACTAACCTGCTCCTGGTACCGTGATATGAGTACAGTCACAGTAAGAAGAGAACAAAGTCAACTCTTAGCCAATCATTAACCACGTGACTATCTATAGCAAATAATCAGTATCACGTAGCCCCCCGTGCCTGATCAGGTATCAGCACGTAGCCCCCCCGTGCCTGATCAGGTATCAGCACGTAGCCCCCCGTGCCTGATCAGGTATCAGCACGTAGCCCCCCCGTGCCTGATCAGGTATCAGCACGTAGCCCCCCGTGCCTGATCAGGTATCAGCACGTAGCCCCCCGTGCCTGATCAGGTATCAGCACGTAGCCCCCCCGTGCCTGATCAGGTATCAGCACGTAGCCCCCCGTGCCTGATCAGGTATCAGCACGTAGCCCCCCCGTGCCTGATCAGGTATCAGCACGTAGCCCCCCCGTGCCTGATCAGGTATCAGCACGTAGCCCCCCGTGCCTGATCAGGTATCAGCACGTAGCCCCCCCCGTGCCTGATCAGGTATCAGCACGTAGCCCCCCGTGCCTGATCAGGTATCAGCACGTAGCCCCCCGTGCCTGATCAGGTATCAGCACGTAGCCCCCCCGTGCCTGATCAGGTATCAGCACGTAGCTCCCCGTGCCTGATCAGCATTGACCAAGATAACAACTATAACTCAGTCAACCATTATCGAGGAAGTCAATCATGTGATATCTTTCAGCCAATCAGAATAGAGCGAGGGGACCGATCTTGCACTATCTCAAGTTATGTGAGTTTGCCAACAATATGATAGTTAATCATGAAGATAAGAAACAACTATACCTATCTTCGAGTCAATATCAATGGGGAAGTATTCGTTTGCATAAAAGCTGCAAGGAACAATTAAAACACTTTATCTGCTTTATATATTTTAACCACCTGATAACACGAACATTAGGACACTGTAGTCCCTGTTCTTACAAATCTGCACAATTTACCAGAACAATAAAATCAGAATATCTTTGGGACGTACACGTATTGTAGCTTCTATCAAGAACTAAAACAGAAAGTGTAGTGTACCCCCCCCCCCCCAGAAAGTGTAGTGTACCCCCCCCCCCCAGAAAGTGTAGTGTACCCCCCCCAAGAAAGTGTAGTGTACCCCCCCCCCCCAGAAAGTGTAGTGTACCCCCCCCCCCCAGAAAGTGTAGTGTACCCCCCCCCCCAGAAAGTGTAGTGTACCCCCCCCCCAGAAAGTGTAGTGTACCCCCCCCCCCCCAGAAAGTGTAGTGTACCCCCCCCCCCCAGAAAGTGTAGTGTACCCCCCCCCCCCCCCAGAAAGTGTAGTGTACCCCCCCCCCCCCCAAGAAAGTGTAGTGTACCCCCCCCCCAGAAAGTGTAGTGTACCCCCCCCCCAGAAAGTGTAGTGTACCCCCCCCCCCAGAAAGTGTAGTGTACCCCCCCCCCCCAGAAAGTGTAGTGTACCCCCCCCCCCAGAAAGTGTAGTGTACCCCCCCCCCCCAGAAAGTGTAGTGTACCCCCCCCCCCCCCCCCCAGAAAGTGTAGTGTACCCCCCCCCCCAGAAAGTGTAGTGTACCCCCCCCCCAGAAAGTGTAGTGTACCCCCCCCCCCCCAGAAAGTGTAGTGTACCCCCCCCCCCCCCCCCCAGAAAGTGTAGTGTACCCCCCCCCCAGAAAGTGTAGTGTACCCCCCCCAGAAAGTGTAGTGTACCCCCCCCAGAAAGTGTAGTGTACCCCCCCAGAAAGTGTAGTGTACCCCCCCCCCCCAGAAAGTGTAGTGTACCCCCCCCCCCCCAGAAAGTGTAGTGTACCCCCCCCAGAAAGTGTAGTGTACCCCCCCCCCCCCAGAAAGTGTAGTGTACCCCCCCCCCCCCAGAAAGTGTAGTGTACCCCCCCCCCCCCCCCCCAGAAAGTGTAGTGTACCCCCCCCCCCCCAGAAAGTGTAGTGTACCCCCCCCCCCCCCCCAGAAAGTGTAGTGTACCCCCCCCCCCCAGAAAGTGTAGTGTACCCCCCCCCCAGAAAGTGTAGTGTACCCCCCCCCCCCAAGAAAGTGTAGTGTACCCCCCCCCCCCAGAAAGTGTAGTGTACCCCCCCCCCCAGAAAGTGTAGTGTACCCCCCCCCCCCAGAAAGTGTAGTGTACCCCCCCCCCCCCAGAAAGTGTAGTGTACCCCCCCCCCCCAGAAAGTGTAGTGTACCCCCCCCCCCCAGAAAGTGTAGTGTACCCCCCCCCCCCCAGAAAGTGTAGTGTACCCCCCCCCCCCCCAGAAAGTGTAGTGTACCCCCCCCCCCCCCCCCCAGAAAGTGTAGTGTACCCCCCCCCCCCCCCAGAAAGTGTAGTGTACCCCCCCCCCCCAGAAAGTGTAGTGTACCCCCCCCCCCCCCCCCCCCCCAGAAAGTGTAGTGTACCCCCCCCCCCCCCCCCCCAGAAAGTGTAGTGTACCCCCCCCCCCCCCCCAGAAAGTGTAGTGTACCCCCCCTCCCAGCAGCACCTGATAAGATTCCGTTGCTGGCATCAGTCGGACAAAGCTTCCTCTCGTAGTACAAGCCGAACCCTATGGCAGTGATGCTGGCGGCGACTGCACTGATGGTAGTGTTGACGGCTATTTTAGCCACCACTGCTCCACCATTAGTTCTCAGAGTCGACACACCACCAAATACCTAGGTGTTACTAGGTGTTACTAGGGTGTTACTAAGGTGTTACTAGGTGTTACTAAAAGCTGCCTATCTATTAAAGGAAGGAGTAGTGAGGAGAGAAATGTAACACTTCGCAAGATCAGATGAACGGACCCATATAATATAGATATAATCGTCGCACTAGGTCGCACTACGTGTAGTGTACCCCCCCCCCCCCCCCCCCCCCCCCCCCACCCCCACACTACGTACCAGTCCATACCAGCTCATCCACATGATGGTAGCTCCCAGTGTTTTGAAATAGTTGTTCTGGCTCGGCAGTCTCTCTTCCTTCCACTCTCCGTCAAACCTGTTCCGTCGTGGCCCAATCAGGGGCAGTAAGATAAGTGCGGGTAACGCTCCTGCTATACAAATCTCACCAGCACCTGAGGTATCAGGGGGTCACATCTCCTACAATACTATACTTACTATCATTAATCAAGCTATCTTCTGTAAGTTATATATTAATTACATAATTACATAAGTATACAGATTACATGTCATATTTTTAAGACTGCAACAGATAAGTTAGAGCTTACCAGCGAAGTCCATGACTCCCGTTCTGAAGATACTGTACGGGTGAGTGTACGGATAAGCCCAGCCTTTAGAGTGGTTTATCCACCTGGCCAGGAGGGGGATGTGTTATTAAGGTGTTACTAAGGTGTTACTAGGTGTTACTAGGTGTTACTAAGGTGTTACTAAGTGTTGCTAAGGTGTTACTAAGGTGTTACTAAGGTGTTACTAAGGCATCACTAGGTGTTACTAAGGTGTTACTAAGTGTTGCTAAGGTGTTACTAAGGTGTTACTAAGGCATCACTAGGTGTAACTAAGTGTTACTAGGTGTTGATAAGGTGTTACTAGGTGTTAATGAGGTGTTAATAAGGTGTTACTAGGTGTTACTAGGTGTAACTAAGGTGTTACTAAGTGTTACTAGGTGTTACCTGGCGAGGAGGGGAAGGGAGAAGCAGCTGGAGACACTGACTAGGAGGTAATATACCCACAGGTGGACTCGCTCTGCTATGCAACCCGACAGTATTGTCACCGCTGTGGCAGTCTTTAGGAACTGCGGGTAGAATAATTGTTTTGTTTTTAAATAGAATATGCCCCCGGAGATCACCAATAACCTCTTTGTGGTTTAATGTAGTTTCTTATGATAGTTTAGAACTTATTATATTCAATTATACTTATTATATTCAATTATACCTATTATATTCAATTTTTAAAATTTCAAGATCAACAGCACACACACAATTAACTAACATTTTATCTGGTGAATGTGAGCGCTTATCTTTGTTGGGTCCCATTCGACAATTTTAACAATAAATCTTGTACTCAAATTTAGAATAAAATATATACCCGAAAGAACATGAGGGAGTATTCTTTAGAGCTGCAGGTGCCACCATCATCACAGAGGGGCTTTCCAACACCAATGAAACCACTCTCACCGATAAAGGGACCTCCTTCCCCATGAGAGAAGCCAAACCTAAAGAATAAGTAATGAAAGCAGTTAGATCTCTATTTTTTAATTATATCTACAGGGTACAACGTATGTACACTGACTTTTGGCCCACCCTGTATCTTTCTGATCCTATGATTGATTGAGGAGCACTACCCAGAGGCATTACTCTATTATCTAGAATATTAATTAAAACCGAAAATTGGGTACTACAAACTGGGGCTTGATAGTGAGTACCATTTTAATCATGTTAATAATAAACAGGGATGATTCAGGATCTATTGATGAGGACTCTGGTTGGCCGCCTTTATTTTACACTACTTTTATGCATGTCTGGCCAACAAAAGCACTTATTATATAATCAATTAACAAATTACCCTATAAGGAAGTAAAAGAAAGCACAAAGCACAGTGTCTCCCAGATTACTAAGGTGTTACTAAGGTGCTACTAAGGTGTTACTAAGGTGTTACCCTATTAGGAAGTAAAAGAAAGCACAAAGCACAGTGTCTCCCAGATTCTAGGTTACTAGGTGTTACTAAGGTGTCACTAAGTGTTACTAGGTGTAAATTACCCTATTAGGAAGTAAAAGAAAGCACAAAGCACAGTGTCTCCCAGATTCTTGAGAATAAGAGCGTTAGCTCGCCGTTTTGTTGACAGGGACCCCGTCTCCATCAAAATAAACCCCGCCTGAATCAAGAAAATGGAGCTACAATACTTTCTTGAGTAAAATTAGTGTTACATAATTTCAAGTTTAATGACTCTTAATGTTATTAGGCTACTGGTTATGATAGGACATTTTAAAATGTTGTATGATCAATCTTAATGAATATAGATATGTAATAAATATTTAAAAACGCATGACAATGATACATCAATACGGATCTTACTTGCATGAGAAAGAGCAGTGTTGAACATTGCAAGATAAAAGCAGTATCAAAATGTTCGAACAATTTCGTAGATGTCTCTGTGGAGTCGATTTTAGCAACGAATTCTGACCAAGCTAGATCTGATTCGCTGCCGTTGATCTTTAATCGTATTGTATGGACCATCATGAGTCATGAGTCTCATAACTAAATAAATGTGGTAATGAAATCAACAATGCGCGTCTCACAATTTCAACGTGTGAGACTGAGAGACTCGCGCCAAAAACAACTTTGTGTTCAACAATGTTACTGCGTGCTACGTGTACGTCATTTTCTTCGATGAGAATTTTTTTCCCTGCTCTTGCCGAAGGCAAAAAGATCGTAGGGAATAAGTAATCGGGTTTGGATATATGAGGTGGCCCGACGGTCCTACGTTGACGACAAAAGTCTGCTCCTTCGCAATATAGACCACTCCCATATAATTATGTGTATAAAAGGAACCTATTTTGCGCGCGCGACGCCAGTTATGTGTTAATTAATTGCAGGCATAGCAACCAGTTTTAGGTGCTTGACGACTGTTAAATTTCCGCTAGCTCTCCGCTAGGCATCCGCTAGGCATCCGCTAGGTTCCACTATTCATCCGCTATTGCCGCTAGTTTTTTAATAAATTACCGAGTGATAAAATTCAGAACAAACTAAATTATTACATCAGCTGATAAACTCGTGGCCGATTATTTAACAGTTGATTGACACTGAATGGTAAAAAGCGATTACATTTACATATTTAAGAACAGATGTTACTTTACATTTACATTCAAGAAGCAACTAAGATCAAGATTGCGGTATGCTTTTAAAGATTCCTATATAGTCGATGGTGCTGTAGATGTGTCGAGTAAGCATCAAAATGTATTAGTTTATGTTAGATACTTATAATAACTAAGATGAGACAGAATATTCTATTCCAGTCAAAAAAGTTGGCATACGACGATGCAATAATATGACGTGACATAATACACATCGTTAACACGAAACAAACCGCGCAAAATATGAAATGATCTACAACCAAACCACACGTACACAGATCAACGCGACACTACAAAAATGCGCGCAGAATTTTCAAGTTCTGCACGTGGCACGCCAAATATATCGAAAACGATTATCATGTTACATGTGCGCCAAACACCACTCTGGGATACAATAAAGTAGAACAATTACATTGTAGGCAGTAGGGAAATTTGATCGTGCGTGGTTTTACCGCGGCGAAATTCTTGTTCAAAGAATGTGTCCATTCAGTAAATCTTGACTGAATCAGTAAAAAGTTTAATTCGGATTCAACAAAATTAATCACTGACTGATTGATAAGTGATTTCATCATGGAAATAACCAAAATAGTTTCCAATTCATATTGAAGGTTGCACAGTTTGAAGCGCTGGTGGGATAGAAACAAAGAAGTGTTTTCATAGAAGTGAGTATCTGAGGTTTTAGTACATAATCAATTTGTACAACAATAACCAAAACAAGTTGCAATGAAATAATTAATCTGCACTATTATTTCTTAGCTTTGCAGTATACAAATAATTTAAACATGACATTATTACTATACCATTGATAAGACATATTTACTTTGTTACTAAATTATTAATTTAGTAACAAACTTACTCGTATTTATAATACCCCGTATATCCATAACTCATAACATTTAAGCATAAAAATATGTGAAATGACATCTAAAACTCAACAAATTGTTTAGGCCTCCTGGGCAGGCTGTGCGGCAGGCTGTGCGGCCGCTAACTGTTCCGTTAAAGTTTGTATCTTAGCAACCATCTCCTGATTTTGCTCCTGGAGTTCTTGGTTAGTAGTCACTAACTCTTGTATTCTTCCTGATAACTCTGCTTTCTCTTCTGACGCAGTGCCTTCTCTACTCTCACACTCCGTTAACTTTTCATTTACTTCAGCGGTATTTCTATTTGCTTCGTTTATTTGATCTGAAAATACATCTCAGGTGATATACCTGTAGAGTGTATACTGGGTATAATGTACACTCTACAGGTTATTCTAGCTGTCAAAGGAGTGGTCGAGTATTGATGTAGGTGAAAGTAAAATGTAATCACATGGAACTCATACAGTTTGTATACTCCTGATGAGGCTCCATGTAGTTCACTAATTTAGCAATACAACACGTTTCAACATGGAAACACTGCACTTGACATACAATGACGAGGTATCTTGAACTCTTTAACTATTATATTATTATACTACTATTATACTAACAGTAACCTTCTTTACTGTAAAGTTGTATGTAATATATTATATAATACACCTTAATTATACCACAGGAACGGGGTCCGGACTCTACGGCGTGAGACTCTACGGCGGGTTAGAGTTAGTGTTAGGGTTAGAGTCTTACGCCGTAGAGTCTTACGCCGTATAGTCCCGGACCCCACGGGAACATCAGTTTGGTGTCAGTAAGATGAATCACTGACCGCTCATTCTTCTAGAAACTTCCATTGGACATAAAATCAGTAGACTAGTCTAACACAAGGTAATTCCTATGTTTCTACAGAAAGCCTCACCACATTGACCACGTATTAGGGGTAATATGTTTGTTCAGTGTACGTGTTCATATTTTGAGTTTTATGACAGTGTAAATTTCAACTACATATGACATCCATGGCATTTATAATGAAGTCTCTTTATGAGGATTTGATGACCTTTCAGTCGTGTGTAAGAGCTGTAAAGTATCGTCAACGTCAGTTCCCCTTCACAGATTACGGCATCTCACATTACGACATCTCACATTACGACATCTCACATTACGGCATCTCACAGATTACGGCATCTCACATTACGGCATCTCACATTACGGCATCTCACATTACGACATCTCACATTGCGACATCTCACATTACGGCATCTCACATTACGACATCTCACATTACGGCATCTCACATTACGGCATCTCACATTACGGCATCTCACATTACGGCATCTCACATTACGGCATCTCACATTACAACATCTCACATAACGACCTCTCACATTACGACATCTCACATTACGGCATCTCACATTACGGCATCTCACATTACGGCATCTCACATTACGGCATCTCACATTACGGCATCTCACATTACGGCATCTCACATTACAACATCTCACATTACGGCATCTCACATTACGGCATCTCACATTACGGCATCTCACATTACGGCATCTCACATTACGGCATCTCACATTACGGCATCTCACATTACAACATCTCACATAACGACCTCTCACATTACGACATCTCACATTACGGCATCTCACATTACGGCATCTCACATTACGGCATCTCACATTACGGCATCTCACATTACGGCATCTCACATTACGACATCTCACATTGCGACATCTCACATTACGGCATCTCACATTACGACATCTCACATTACGGCATCTCACATTACGGCATCTCACATTACGGCATCTCACATTACGACATCTCACATTGCGACATCTCACATTACGGCATCTCACATTACGACATCTCACATTACGGCATCTCACATTACGGCATCTCACATTACGGCATCTCACATTACGGCATCTCACATTACGGCATCTCACATTACAACATCTCACATAACGACCTCTCACATTACGACATCTCACATTACGGCATCTCACATTACGGCATCTCACATTACGGCATCTCACATTACGGCATCTCACATTACGGCATCTCACATTACGGCATCTCACATTACAACATCTCACATTACGGCATCTCACATTACGGCATCTCACATTACGGCATCTCACATTACGGCATCTCACATTACGGCATCTAACATTACGGCATCTCACATTTCGACATCTCACATTACAGCATCTCACATTATGGCATCTCACATTTCGACATCTCACATTTCGGCATCTCACATTACAGCATCTCACATTACGGCATCTCACATTACGGCATCTCACATTACAACATCTCACATAACGACCTCTCACATTACGACATCTCACATTACGGCATCTCACATTACGGCATCTCACATTACGGCATCTCACATTACGGCATCTCACATTACGGCATCTCACATTACGGCATCTCACATTACGGCATCTCACATTACGACATCTCACATTACGGCATCTCACATTACGGCATTTCACATTACGGCATTTCACATTACGACATCTCACATTACGGCATCTCACATTACGGCATCTCACATTACGGCATCTCACATTACGGCATCTCACATTACGGCATCTCACATTACGGCATTTCACATTACGGCATTTCACATTTCGGCATCTCACATTACAACATCTCACATTGATTCGCAACGTTGGGTAGCACTTGTGCTCAACTTATTTACTTAACAAGTTTAATTGCTGAAGCCTAAGTTCGTGTGATGTTAATAATTGATTTTAAAATATATATTTTATCCTGAACAAATACGGCATTAAACATGTGGCCACCAAAATTTCCCCAAAAGACTATCCGTCGAGAAAGCTTGCTTGACACAAAGATGGTAAAATGATGAAGCACACGAAATAGGTCGCAACATTGTGCAATAAAAGCAAGTAACCCCTGTTCATGAAAGTATCAACATGACATTATCTAACGACTCCGAACTTAAACTTTAGAGCCTTTTCAGGAAGGAAAGTGGCCTATTCATAAATTTTTGATAATTGAGTCTAAACAGTTACCACAATAAAGTATCAATATGATATATTATTATCTACAAATTGTTCATTCAACTTCTTAATGTGCCTAACACTGAAAGTTTTTCAACACCACTCCTTTGTTTTATAACCACATTATACTGTGTAAAATGTAAACACAAAACACGTTACAAAAGACCAGGTAACAAGGGGGCTCCTTTGTTTAGATTTAACTAATTTATTACAACAAATAACAAGTTTATAGTGTATGTGGAAACTGGCGGGGAGGTGATACATGTTTGTATCAGCTTTCCATAATACAAAATATGTATCACCTCCTCAACCCGCCGAACATGTACTTACTATTAAAGTAAACAAATGTGTCTCACCTCCCCGCCAGTATCCACATCTATACACTGTTAAGTAAGCTAAGTGTTTATACACTTAGCTGACGCTTGATATGAAGTAGACAAGTCAGTAATGATGGTATATTGACCATAAAACTCACGGGATACAGCCTAGAGAGGGGGGGTGTGATTTACAGTACCCCCTCACGGGATACAGCCTAGAGAGGGGTGTGTGATTTACAGTAACCCCCCCCCCCCCCCCCCCCCCAAAGCAAATATAATAGTATTCTTAAATCAGAGTGTAATATCCGGATAGAAACATTATTTATGAGAGCATTGTTTCTGATAATTTTGTATATGTGACACAGGGATAATCAAAAATGCTCTATTCAGGTAAAGTAAACTGTTCACTTAAATCAGAATGTAGAGTGTGAACCAAATTCTTGGAACCTATCGAAAGATACAAGGCTGGAACAAGAGGTGTGCCTAATTAATTATAACAGGAAGAATATTCTAGAAGATTGTCCACTGCTGTGTTCTAGAACAATGTCACCTCATGTAGAAAACGTCGTACGTACTCCGTAACACTGATAGTGAGCACTGAGCATGATTTCTCAGTCAACACGACCGTGGGGGCTAGTTTACCGTTAATATACCAGACTTGTATCCGACCGGATTTGAACCCGGGTCTTCTGCTTGGGAGGCGATCGTGTTACCACTACACCACCCGGCCGACAACCGTTAATATGAAACCAATTTAACGGGGTTTACTATGGTCACGTGAGCGGTCACGTGACAATAATCGCGGGAAAACTCCTGATCTAGGAGTTTCTCGATTGTTTCTAACTCGACAACTCCTAATTAACTATTATATTCATTCTCATCTCCAACACAATTACACACAATAGTCAATATGCAGGTACAGTACCTACTAGGTACTCTCGGACAATAGGTAGTGGGCTGGGATGCACTGTGTGCAATAGGTATCAGTCTATAAACTATTTATTATGTTATATTCACGATTATCCATAGTATATATTATTATATACATACTACATACACATTGTGTGAGGAGTACACGTAATTTTAAAGTTTCTTAGATTTGATTTAATTTTAGTGATGATGTGGCATTTTATATCTCTTAAGAGTCTTAGGAAGTAAAATAAAGTTTACAATTGGTGTCAGTTTATGTGTAGACACAGGCTACACATAAACTGATTTGTCTCTGTGCAGAGAGTAAAACGGTGATGCACTAAAATAAGGTTTTATTTGCTAAAGATTTTAAAATACATTTCAAGAAATACCCGGTAATCTACTTTGTAATCTACTTTGTAATCACTGGGAATAATGCCCCTGTCCATGACAATTTTAGTGGTAATTAAATTTGTGGGTAAGATACCAATCCCCCGAATTGACATCATCTTGTTACATAGCGATTAATTGAAAACTTTTATGCTAGATATCATTGTGTACTTATATGTCTATGAGTAAGACATGATTAGGGACTACTTTATTGTGGGAAATTTTCATAAAATATCGCGTCTTCAATAATCACGCTAATTACTTCTGCGACAATTTTCAGCTGCTTTATTCATGAAAATCACGGCCCCCGCGAATAATGTTTGGAAATCGAACTGCTTACATTATTATACTCGAGGAAAAGTTCACTGACAAAAAATACATATCTATTGAAATACAATACGTATGGGCAGTATCTGAGAAGCACGACTACTGAAGGTAGACTTTAGGGTAGACTATGAATTCCATATTGAATAATCCGTAACAGTGTGTGTAATCAGTGTAGCTTGTGTTGCAAATATCGAGCTCTCTTATCTTTTGTAAATTTGCAATAAGTTCAGTTTGCTGCTACCGCGTAGTTTACCTTTGCGTGTGTACTTGTACATTACTATACAAGTACACTATGGGGGATGACCCAACTTTGACCCGATCCCAGGAGTTGATTAAGGAGTTCAACTATGATCAACAGGAAGATGTGGAAGGCTGTGTTGCACGCTGGTCCATTCAGTTAGAAAAAGACCTGCATATGGACTACCGTGAAATTGACTACGAAAGTCGTGAAACGATCAAGACTAAGGATAAACAGACTCTGTCTGGCTGGATTGTGGATGCAGTGGACCTTGTTCGTCGGCAGAGTAGTCAGATGTATCTCTTGAAGGAGATCATCGAGTGCTTCAAGACGGAAGCACTAGCAGACAAAGAAAAGGTGATCAGACTGCAGGGCCAGCTGCTGATGCAGAAGGACGTACAACTACAGTTGCTTAAGACGTCTGTTGAGGAGACAGTACAAACAACGGTGGAGTCTGGGATTCAGAACTATAGTGCAGCTGTTCAACGCATATATCCACACTATATTTACATTACACGTACAACGTGATATCATTATCAGTGCAGTGTGTACAACACCAACTACACCGATCAATTGCCAATCTGTGAAACATTTATTCATTATTATCACTTCGAAGTTCGAGATGGGCCTACTCTCATGCTTTAAAATAAGTATTGTCAAAGCAATACCACATTAAAATAAAGATGTCTTTGCCGAGCTTGGCACACTTTTCCTCCACAAGTGCTAATTAATACGAACTGTAAAATTAAACGTACTGTAAAAATCAGCAAGGTTGCATAATCATTATACCAATTGAACAAATTTACCAACAAAACAACAAAACAACAAAACAACAAAACAACTCACTTAATCGAGCATCAGCCAAAGAGGATAAGGAAAACTGAAATATCGAATCATTAGTTTACACAAGCTTTGTTGGTCGAGTCGAGTGAAGCTTTCTATAGAAGTTCAAAACCCCATGAGCCATGCAAATTCCATGGTAACAACGTATAATAAACAGTATAAAGAATGTCATGGTAACCATGACAATTATATAGACATGCTTTAGTAGTACAGAATACCTTACCTTTTGTGTAGCAATGACTTCTTTATCACTGTTAAGTATACTGATCTTATCATGTAGTTCTGTTATCCTCTTCTTACATTCCGTTGCTACTCCGTTATAATCTAGCTAACGGGATTTAATGTTAATAGTATAACAGAACAGGTGCAAATGAATGAAAAGTAAGTTAACAAACAGGACACTACACCGAATATGAAAAAATCGTAAACAGGATGAGACCGAGGGAGGGGTAAGGGAGGGGTAATGGGGTAAGGGAGGGGTAATGGAGGGGTAATGGGGTAATGGAGGGGTAAGGGAGGGTAAGGGAGGGTTAATAGGGTAAGGGAGGGGTAATGGGGTAAGGGAGGGGTAAAGGAGCAGGATACATTTCCTACACTGGGAAGGGGAAGGTGCCTTGCTTATGGAAGGGGTTACAACAGTTTCTATTGGTAAAATACAGTTGATTAAGGGTGATTAAGTAAAAGAAGAAAACAGTGCTTTTAGAAGTTGATATATCTGCCATTCTGCTGCTAAGATATGAGTAGCACTGATACAGCCTGCAGACTATGAAGTTTTTGCTGATCCACAATTATCTTACTGAGTCCATTAAAGATCAAATGTAATCTTAATTTGAGTACTTATTTTATGAAAGATAACATGTTTAGTATGAAAACAAACCTCTTTCTGACGACAAACTTTTACTTGAGCGTCTAAAATTACCATATCCTGAAAAAAAAGCTCTGTTTAGAAGATATTAGTTTTGAGAATATAAAATCTAATCATCACAAGCAATGAATAAAAGTTTAAAACAGTGAATAACTTACTTGTGATATGGACCAATAGTTGAAAGTTAGGATGCATGTGGTAACACAAAGGGCTACACTGATAAGGTTACTTCCGCTCTTGTACCACATCTTTATATTGCTAACAAACTGTGCAGGGAACATGATGATATTTATACAATAATATAATGTTGTAATTATGGTTCAATTATACATCTCTTGCTACAACATGTACAGAAATGCAGTCTTAAACGCCATTGCGATTTAACCATTTTGCCACTAAAATAATAATATGGCACAGGTACGACTAGAATAACAAATATGGCGCCAATTTCTTCCACCATTTCAATTTCTACGACATATAGCCCAAATAAATCGTTGTTTATTTTGACATCATGTTCAGTAATTGTAACTTCCGACAAATAAGGAAGCTGCAGCCTTGACTACTAAATCAACCAGTGGTGTAACAAAGGGCCCCCGCTGACCCCACTGTGCAGGGGGGGGGGGGCGGAAAATCGTCGTTTGAATGTGGGTCAATTTGAAAAACTTAACTGAGGTACTATCTAGCAAAACTGCGCATTTTGCTCTAGGAAAACACCTTTTTAGAGATTTTACCAGCATATCCTCTAAAATCACCTAATTTGTTCAATTTCAGGGAGGGGCGCCAAAAGGGGAGGGGCGCCAACAGGGGAGCGCATTTTCGGCAGGGGGGTGCCAACAGGCAAAGTTACACCACTGAAATCAACCCCTTCTAAGCTATGGTTGAATGCTTTTAAATAAGTTTGATTTGATTTTACAAAGAAGATTGTATCCTACTCAACAGTATCTCAGTAAAGCCAGTGCTTAAATTGTTTTGACCCACTACACATCCATATAGCCGATTTAAATAACAACCTATAGTCAACAGGAAATCGGGAAAAGTCCTCCCCAGCCTTAGCCAACAACCTGTCAGTGTTTTATTAATGATTTATTAATATCAAGAAAACAATAATCTGAAAACGTTTCTTTTTACTGAAAGAAAGACGAACGCAAGTTGATGAAACAAGGAAGGTCTGGAAAGAATGATAGTTCAGGAAAACAACAATTTTATTTAGTATCAGTTACAGCAAACAAAAAATATATTTTATATAATATATTATAACTAGGACGAACTTTAGATTAGAAATCTTGGGGGACTTGGAGTAGCAAGAGATTGACTAGAAGGTATATACCTTTTACCAAAAACGTCGAAAAGAATCCAGGGTGATACAGGATCGGAGAGTACAGACCATAAAGTTTACGCACCCACCTTTGCCTCCAGAATTCTTGGTTGGTTAAAAATGTATGCTAACTTGGTCGTTTATACTCCAAGTCCCTTTGTTAAAAGAAGTAATATTATGTACGTCTGGAGTTAGCTTCATTCAATAATAACAATATCAATATAGTCAATATCAATATCAATATCAGACTAAACTATCGAATAAATTATCAAATATTATTTGTTAATTCGATCTGAATAAAAATTTATAAGTTAAGATATTAAATAATTAAAAAAATTACAACAAGTGGTTAAAAACGCCCAAAATTGATCTGAGAGCTTTTCAGTCTATAATACAATCATGATAGTAATATTAAGTGTGTGCTGCTGCGATTAGAATAGATTACTGCAATTTAAAATTGTTTGGATTCCAAGTATCTTTTAAATCAGCAGCCTGTACTTGTAATAATAGTGCCTTGGTTCTCAATTTTATCAAGTTAATGGAAGTTTCTAGGCAATTGCTTGAGGTTAGAATTTTTTTATGAGTTGGTATCGTACCACCAGTTGGTATCGTACCACCATGTAAATTAATAGACTGCACACAATATTAGCTCAAATTCTAAGTGAGATGAAATTGGTACAAGACTAAAGCAAACTCAAAAACAAACAGACAAACGCACGGTTTGTGTTATCAGGATTTGAAGAAGAGCGCTCGATTCGTTGGCAAATTTTTTGATAACACTGACATTTTTGTAAAACGCCGCGCGCTTACGAAATTGCTTCGTATAAAGAAACATTAGATTAATAATTTCATATTGTTTATATAATATTATTAAATTCAATAAAAAAATATAAATTATTTATTTATTGACTGGGATATGCTGCCTTTAACAATTACAAGAAGGCCTGGAGTGATAAACTGCCCCTAAACAAACGTCTAATACTGTATAATGCTTTAGTCGTATCGGTTCTTATGTACAACTCATCCTGTTGGGCCGTCCCCAAAATATTCCTTGAAAAACTAGATGTTGTTCACTGCAGACATCTTCGCACTATTTTGAATATAAAGTACCCAGGAGTCATCTCCAACAAAAACTTGTATAAACGCTGCAATGCTGAACCATTGTCAGAAAAAGCGGCCCGTAGTCGGTGGAGAATGTTAAAACATGTTTTGCGGGGTCCTATTGACGGACCAGCGTTTTCTTCCCTCATTTTTGCCATCAATACACTGGACTTACCAGGGAGAAGAGAAAGACCCCAAAGCAATCTATTCTCGCTGATTGTGCATGATTTATGTAAAAGAAATCTTTATTTGAATAATATCTTTGACCTGCATTATTTCCGTAATTTGAGTTGTGACAAGAGATATTGGCGGAAATTGCAATGAAGTTTTTAATTTTTGTTTTTGTTTTAATGAAAGATTAGACTTGGGCGTTGTTTTTTTAACTATCCCTTGTTTAGAACTTTGATTTAATAATTTATCATGAGTAAAAAATTCATCAGAATTAATAAAAGCCAAAGTTTCTACGCCGCGCATATTCGCTTTGTCTAAACCCTGTGTCGTACGAATCGAGCGCTACCATTAAAATTCCAATCTTGCAACTTCCGTGTATTTGTTGATAGTACGTGACCACCTTGTAATAATATTTTGATGAGCACCATTTTTAACCAGAATCTTCCGATTTCGAGTCCATCCAAGCGACCTCTGGACCTCCAACCTATGTTATGAATTAGGTTATGCTTTGTCTTATTGTTTTACTGTACTTGGTACTGGGAAGTCTCTCCCCTGAGCTGTTGTCACGTTAAATTCTTACAATCTCGAAGAGGCAGTTTAATTCATACCGATACAACGGATAATGTACATGATACAACGGTCATAGACCATATGTCACAAATGGGCATACAAATCTTGTGTTTGGTTTGATTATCCTTGTTAATTGTGAGAAAACTTGAAGCTGAATGACTTACCCTTCGAGATGGACAGTTAAAACTTAACGCCTGTCACATTTTGTTGCTCACATATCACAAATGATGATGTGCGAGGGTGGAGTGGAGAGGGTAGAGTAGTTGTTTCACATTGTCTTTTGCATATTTAAGTGAAACAAATTTAAAATTTTATCCTTTATTTTACAATCATAATATAATAATATTTATAAGCCTCCGTTTTGAAAGTTTTAAATTTGAATATATTCACATTTCTATTTAAAATTCAATTTTATGTATAAGTCAATAACTGGCCGCTAAAGCCGCGCATTCTTGAAAACAGGATTAACTTGTTTATAGTTATACGACAACGTAAATTTAAAACTATCCGTGGTTTTTTTTAAATAAATAAATTATAATTTTACCTAAGTTAAAACAATGGTCAGTCTATGTACAATAAAGTAATTCAAGTGTCACAATTGGCAGAGCACAATACAGAGGTAACGGAAATTGTCCAATGCTACCAATATTATATAATATGAAATATCAACTATCAGATATATACACATCTACTCCATCATAGGGGCAGGGATGAGGTTATAAGAGACTTCTGATAGTGGTGTCTCATATTTGCTGTCAATTTTTTTCCCTCTGAACCCTCGCTCGTAGAGCTATGAGTGTGGTTCTTAACATAGCGAATCATATTCTTGTCCTTACATGTCTTACCACATTGCAATACCTCTCTTTTCTTTTCCTGGCGATGAGGTCTGCCACTCTATTTAGAAACCGCTAACATTCTTTGGACATGCCTCCAGTTGTGAGAAATACGGCTGGGGTGAAAGTGGCCTTCTCTACGTTCAACACTCTCTCCAAGTACTCATCCTTCTTCTCCTTTTCGTTCTCTTCGTATACTTCTTGAAGAGTTTTGGTCCTGTTTGATAAGCAATTGGGTGTGAAACCCTTATGTCAAGAAAGGTCTTATCAAATGGAGTCCAAACTCCTCTAGCAGATACGTCAAGCCAAGCTTGGTCACCTGTTATAGTCTTGGGGTTGAGGCAGTCACCCTCATTTACCTTCTGTAGCTGGGGTTCGACTTTCACATCATGACATACCTCACGAAGGTATGTCATTTTACCTAAGTCCAAAGCTAGCTTTGTAAAATTTACTATTATATCATAATATATCGTCAACTTTAAATATTTACAATGCAACAATTCATTAATCTGTATACACGCGTACTCCAGCCCCTACACGCATCAATTGTTATGCGGCGCACGCACGTATTATTTTATACTGTTAATAATTTATACTGTTAATAATTTGAATCATGTATTTCTAGTAGGTGCTATCAATGTCGAAAGTTGGTGTATGTCGGATAACATCAGTGTTTACTATAATACTATTCACATTATCTGTTCTTGGATACTCACAATGTAAGTACTGTTATTCACAATACAATTGAATTTTGTTTCTCTTATCATGTTTTAAATCCCCAATACGATTTAGAACTGTAAATACCATAAGGTAGGAGCCATCTAGTTATATATAGTAGTATATTGTACCTTTTTGTGAACCTTCTAAAAAAATCATATCAATTTTAAAACTCTATATTTTAAAACTCTATATTTGCTCTACTGTCTAATTTTTTCCCCTACTATTGCCGAAGGCAAAAAGATCGTAGGGAATAAGTAATCTGGTTTGGATATATGAGGTGGCCCGACGGTCCTACGGTGACGACAAAAGTCTGCTCCTTCGCAATATAGACCACTCCCCTATAATTATGTGTATTGGAAGCGTCTGTTATGCTGCGCGCGACGCTAGCCATGTGTTAATTAATTACAGTGAAGTTCCTCCTTCGCAAAGTTATTTTCCGCAATTTTCTGGATTCATTTATTGTTGATGCGCGCGGCGCTACATTGGTCAAATAAATCGTCAATTTTTACCATGCGCGAATCCCACTCATTTATTATTTTTTCCAGTCACACTTTTCACTCGAAAGAATTAATGGTACAAGATACAAGTACATCGTAGGGAAAATTGATCGTGCGTGGTTTAACCGCGGCGAAATTCTTGTTAATGCTGCACATGACAATATTGTATACCAGGATGTGTGAAACATTTCATTTTTCAGATTACCTAACACCTCTGGATACGACAAAGTATCCCAGTGAAGAAATAACTATAGCTATGTTGTGTGAGTACATATATTACATTTTAAATATTTCATTATAATATGAAATTTATCATACTTAATTTGTGAGCAAACTAAGTAACGTGCTCAAACACCGTGCATATTAATTAGTCTCACCTTCATAATGTAACTGTAATTACGAAATATTCCATGTTACAGTAGCTTGGGTAATCATTTAAGTTATGGCCAATGAAAAGAAAACATGTTTCCTTATCAGAGGTCAAACTACGTTGTTATCTGAAAAATAGGTTTGAAACAAGGACCTGAATTTTGATTTATATAATATCTCGTATCTGTTATCTCATATACCCCATATACACCATATAGAGTCCTGTAGGTAATTTTCAATTCAGTTGCACAGTGCAATAAAATCACCAGAATATTTCCAATTCACAGGATTTGCAAAGTAAGGAATTGGGTTCCAGCATGAGCATTGAACAATGATTTACATTGACTAGTAATAGTAATAACAAATTACTGTGTGTATTTTCATTCACCAATTGACACTGTGAGTGTGACAGTGAGCATGAACTCGGCGAATAAAAGATTTCCTATTAGGAACACAATACATTGTTCTTTTCAACACAATAATACATCTAAGATACAGCACAATAGACGCTATAAAATCGGCTGCACTAGTGCTTTGTGTATTGTGTATTGTGCATTGTGCATTTTGCATCGGCATTACTATACATTATTACACTAACAATGTGTTCTACTCTCTCCTCCACAATTGGTTTCCTCTGCAGCTATGTGATGTAGTTAGACCCCTGGATCATTTTAATGAACTGTTGAGAAATACCTGTGAAATAGACAGGGGGGCGGGATCATACACTTAGTATTGAACGTGACGTTGGAGTGGTGAGTCATATTTTCTTCCAAAACACAGTTAGTACTTTTGTACTAAGTGGTGGGTCTGTTGCTCATTTCCCAGAAAAAAAGTTAGTACATGGTACTGAGGGGGGTGTCCACTGTCCAACCCCAAAAAACCCATTTTACCTCAAATTTCAATTTTGGGAATGGGTTTTTTCCTTTTTTTGTAACTTTTTATCTAATTCGACTACATTGAAAACAGAATTCCTACTAAATAGTGGGTATAATTTACCCATTTCCCAATGTTTAATGAGCTATTTAAAGCAATTTCTGGGTTAGTAATATCTTATTTTATATACCTAGACACTGTTAGTACCGCAAAAGAGGTGGGAGTCTTTATTATTATCCGAAAAAACAGTTAGTACCGCAAAGGGGGTGGGTGGGTCTTTTGAGAAATTCCAAAATTACACAAGTTAGTCGACGTCACGTCCAAAACTTAGTACCTGATCCCCCCCCCCCCCCCCCCCCCCCCCTCCCCCCTCAATTCAAAATGTGTACTTGTAGAGTGTACAATTTCCTATTTGGGCTATTTTTCTTCTGTTCAATGCTAAATAAGATGTTATAAACAAAAGTGATTTATATATCTTTAGTGATAACACGTTTTTATTGGCACAACTATCTACTCATTGCATACTGTAAATAGTACACTATTACTCAAAGTGCGTTTACATTTACCTCTAGAGTTTCTTAATCAATAACTGCTAATATCCTATATGAATGAAATGTACATTATTTCATCAGTTTAACTTAAAACTTCAGTACCTGTTTAAGAAATACAGCTCTACTTGTCCTAATTAATCAGTAATCAAGCATATTCTTGATATAAATAAATCAATTAATAACAAACTGTTGGATTGAGGTTGGAGATGGAGATGGCACTCCCTCTTTACTTTCATACTAATTATAATTTATCCCAGGGTAATTATATATGTACTTAATAGATTGGGCTACATCTGTCCGACAGCCGAATTAAGGATTTCGGACAGATGTCGCTGTCGGACAGGAGTCGTTTTTGGCGACATCTGTCCGAATTTCAGATCATATATTTGTAATTTCGGATCACATTCGTATTTCACAAGCTCACGGGTAATCTTGTGACGTTGCTCCCATTGTTCTAATGCTGATGACGTGATCCATTGAGATGTGATCTATCGATACGTGATTGACTATTTGAGGACAGGATCGTGCTAGCCGTACACTAATAAGCTGTCGATCACATCACAGGACACAGCCTACATGAGTACATATAGGACAGTGGTATGGAGATCAGTTATCGGAATCCAATGAACCAATCTTCAGTTTATCGCAAACAAGGCTCCCAGAACAAGCCCTTACAGACGTGAAGAAAACCAAAGACGGGCGGGCGGGAACTACCTGAGCCACGTGTACCCAAATGGATCCGTTATGATCGACAACTTCAGATAATTGTAGATGATTACACAACTACAGCAACCCTATGGATTTCCTAAAAGCTATCGGAAATTTGGCTATGCTTTAGATTTGATTCTTTGATATTGTATTTTATTGAAGTGGCTCAGTGGCTTAGTTGGTTAATCTGCTTGTCTACTGGCCCTGACGTTGCGAGTTCGAATCCCAGTTGGGCCAAGATTTCAAAATAGATGGGCAGCCGTCACTCACCAAACCATGGTGTGAATGGTAGTGGCTCTCATTAGAGCTGCGAAAATAACACGAGTGCATATGCCTGGGGTTGCGTCCCGACTATGCTGCAGGGAAACCTGTATCGAAAGGACCGTGGCCGCACCGCAAAAGAAAAGGAGATCGGCCCCTCGATCCTAGCTTGCTAGGTTCGCCATTGTTGTTGTTGTTGTTGTTTATTGAATTAATTTAAATATAAAATCTAAACTATTGTCCAATTGTTACGTATACAAATTAGCAAGTAACAGTTCAGATCATGTTTCTAATTGGAAATGTGTCGTATTGAAATCAGATCACAATTTCGGACAGATGTCGTTTTTTTCTGGTACCCTGAGGCCTGAGTCGGACAGATGTCGCTGTCGGAAAGATGTCGTGTTATATCATATTCCAGATTAAATTCCTATTGCAATATTAAATGTTACAATGGAGTTTCTGACGTGTTCACAAACACTAGTTTAGGCAATTCGATGTTGAATTACTAATTTTGGCGACGGAATCATGAGTATTAACAGTATGGTATACCATCTGCAAAGTTACAGTTTTCATGGTTATGTTATTTAAACTTATAAGACCCAACGTATGAGTACTGATGTTTGCCCCCGGCTCTCCCCTTACATAATAATTTTTTAAAGATCTCACTCACGCTCACGTACGATTCTTTGTTCGTATCATAATTGTTATTAAAAATTGTTTATTTATACAAAGGGGAAAAAAGGCAGCTTATTGGTGCATTTGAAGCAGTGCGATCGATCGCACATAATAATTTTTAAAAGATCTCACTCACGCTTACGTACGATTCTTTGTTTTTATCACTATTATTATTCAAATTTGTTTATTTATACAAAGAAAAATAAAGCCAGCTTATTGGTGCATTTGAAGCAGTGCGATCTAAAATAAGCAAAATAAAATATACGGTGCACTTTGAGCGTATAAGAAATATCAATTTGGGCGAGGGCATCACAATTTATTCATATTTATATATGAATAAATTGTGCTGCCCTCGTCCAAATACTTATATATAATAATATAAGTATTCCTTCTATATCTGAGAAGTGAGAATGCACAGCAGGTTACTGTCAACTCAGTGATGTCGGTCTGATCTGAGCTATGAGGGACGGAGCACTCACAACTAAAGTTGTTCTTTTGCTCGCATTTTTCACCACCACCCGACTAAGCGTGATAACGACCCATCTAAGGGGCTTATCAGATTTCAAGCAGGAGCTTTCAGAGTCAACAGTTCTTGATTTCAGTATAGATGAAAATCTAGCTGATCGTTGCTTTGGACAGACCTTTATTTACTTGCAACTGAACCCTAAAATCCTAGAAATCACACACGATCTTGCCGAGGGTGACAATCTAATTTGTGATTTCAATTTTGATTTTACATTTTTGAAAACAAGAGAATTGGCAGCATATACAGATTCTGGACTGCCGCCTGATTTTCGAGACGAAGACACTTGGTTCATTTGCAAGCTAAACAACACCTCCCAAATCTGTGACGGATATTCCCAATGCCTTACCGACGAATGCAATTGTCTTGGTAACCAATCGCCTGTTTTCTACTGTGCAGACGGTTCGGGCTGTGTCGCGATGGATAATCTCTGTGACAAAATTCAGGATTGTACTGATGGATCTGATGAATGTTTCTGTACCGATTACTTTGTACTTTCGGTTTCAGGAACCGCTGACAAGATATGTGTTACAGAAGATCGGTATTGCCAGGAGAATGCGTACCGTTCATCCAAGTACTCCATCGAGGTAGGGAATCCCAATTTATGTAATGAAAAGCAAGATTTTGCCACGCATTTAAGCTCACTTCATACATGTTTATTAAAGTATCAACCACAACAATATAATATAACGATGGCAGAGTTTTGCCGTGTCAACTGCAAACATGTCGACGGATTTGAGAAGGGCTGGGAGAACTTCTGTGTCCATATCGGGATAGGATATCCTGTACCTCATGTGTTTCGCTGCAACCCGAAGGATTTCACAGAAACATATTCCCTACACTATATGTGTGATGGGGAGGTAAATTGCGACAACCAAGCGGACGAGATTGGGTGTCCAGGACGGTTCTATTGCAGTCCTAATGAGACTGCTGAGTGGGTTGGTAACGACAAGGTTTGTGATAACGTGAAGGATTGTATCAATGGAGCTGATGAATGTGGAACATGCCAGTTTGAAGAGCTGTCTTCCTCTGATTTCCTGATCAAATCGAACTTTGTCTTCACTGTAACGATCATCATGGGCATCTTGATAGTTATAATGAACATGAAAGAGGGTTACAAATGTTGGACTATGAAGTGCACCTCTAAAGTAAAACAGGTTGACAACGTGTTTTTGATGCAAATTTTCTTCCATGATACCCTGATGGGAGTATATTTGTGTTGTATAGTAATGGCAGCTTTAGTTCTCGGGAATAAAGGCGAGTACTGTCAGCTGGAAGAAATGTGGAGAGCCAGTCCATTCTG